TATATCAACACACATTAGAAATTTTATAAAGCAATTTAGTAACAATTACAAACAGTTATATAGTGTCTTTGGGCTACTATAATGAAATATCATAGAGTAGGTGGGTTAGACAACATTTTTCTTTCCAGTTTTGAAGTCTGAAAATCCCAGGTTCAAGGGACTGGCAGATTCAGTGCCTGGTGAAGGCATTCTTTTAAGTTTTCAGGTGGCTGTCTTCTCATTGTGTCAATAAATGGTTAGGAGAGATATCTGTCTTCTTATATGGACACTAATCCCATTCATGAGGGCTCCACTCTACTGGTCTAATTACCACTTCCTAACTTTATTTTTTGTGGTGTTTTGGATCAAACCCAGGGCCTTGTGCTGCTAGACAAGTGCTCTGCCATTGAGCTACAGCCCCAGCGTAGAAACCCACTTGTTAATACCATGACATTGCAGGTCGATACTTTACCATGTAATCTTTGTGGGGCATAAATATTCAGTACATAGCATATAGACTAAAAGGATTAAAAAATGCTTTAAATTTTTTTTACATTGACCCAAATGTCCATTTCTTTGTTTTTTATATTGATAATTTTATATTTATTTATTTATTTATTTATTTATTTATTTTAAAGAGAGAGTGAGAGAGGAGAGAGAGAGAGAGAGAGAGAGAGAGAGAGAGAGAGAGAATTTTTAATATTTATTTTTTAGTTTTCGGCGGACACAACATCTTTGTTGGTATGTGGTGCTGAGGATCGAACCCGGGCCACACGCATGCCAGGCGAGCGCGCTACCGCTGAGCCACATCTCCAGTCCCCAAATGTCCATTTCTGACACTCTCCTTTTTTTGTGTAGAAAAGACCTATTTTCATCAGATATTTTTGTTTTTAGTGAGAAATCTTTCTTTACAGTGTATTATTCAGTAATTATGAGTCCTGAGATTTTTTTTTTAAATCTGAAAACATTCCTATTTTGCCTTTATGTCTGGACATTTTTTGTTGGATATAGGTGGAATTTGGGGTTGCCTTTTTAAAATTTGAGTCTTTCTGAAGGTGTTATTGTGCTCTTTTCTGGGTTGCTTGTAATCTCATGAGAAGTTAGCTATCAATCAGATTGTTGTTCTCCATAGAAAGTGTGTTGATTTCCTGTACCTGATTTTAAGATTTGCTGTTTGTTTATAGCCTTGAATAATTAAATACGTTATGCCTCAGTGTAGAATTTTTTTTGCATTTTTTTCCTTTTGGCTCAATACAAACCTTTCAATTTGTAAACATTGGCCTTTTATCAACCTCAGGAATATTTAAGCAATTCTTTGCAATCTTTTAATGTCTCCTTTTTCCTACTTAATTCCAATTCATATACTTTTGGCAGTTTGACTTCATCTTTTTTCTAACAATCATCTTCAAGTTCAATGTACTTTCCATTGTCTTTGTTCAGCAGTTATGTGTAATTCCTAATATTTAATTTTAGAAACTGCAGTTTGGGGTTCTAGATGTTTTATATTTTAAAAATTGTTTCTATTATCTCTATTGAGATCTCCTATTTTTCTCTTAGCAATTTCATGCATCAAAGCATGTTTTTTACCTTAAGTTTCTACCTTTATTTATTTTGTATTAATGCATACTAATGATACAGAGTGTTTTAGTCCACTTTTTCACTGCTGTGTCTAAAAGACCTGACTAGAACAATTTTAGAGGAAAAGTATATTTGGCATCAGAAGTCAATGCAACATGCCTAGTAATTTGAGGGATACTGGATAGTGTGAATGTTACTGTGTTTACCAGGTTTCTGTCACAGTGACCAAAATACATGAAGGGAAAACTTAGAGGATGAAAAGTTTACTTTGGGCCCATGGTTTCAGAAGTTCAGTCCATGGTTAGCTGACTCCATCAGGCAGAGCACCATGGTGCAAGGGCATGGTAAAGGAATGCTGCTCAGCTGTTGGCGACAGGAAGCAGAGCAAGATAGAGTGTGAGAATCCAGGAATAAGATATAATCCAAGGGCAYGCCCCCAGTAACCTTCTTCCTCCAGCCATGTCTTCAGTTACCACTCAGTAGTCCATTCAAATTATTAATCCATCAAGTGGATTAATTCACAGATAAGGTTGCAGCACTCATAATATAGTCATCTGAATATTCCAACACATGAATTTTTGGGGGAATAGTTCTAGATCCAAACCATATCAGCCAAATTGTTATTTGTCTGGATTTAATTATCTTCCTTTAAAGAGTGTTGTTTTTCTCTGCTCCATTTTACTCATCTCTTCTAATAGCCTACTGCTTATTGTACTGCAGGGGTTGCTATGGTAATGAGGAGAAGCTAAATTGAGAGAAGACTGAGGTTGAGGGAACAATAATCTCTATAAATATGTCAAAATTTGACTGTTCAAATGCTTATTGTTACAGACTGAATGTTTATGTCTCCCCAATTTAACATTTTGAGGTCTTAACCTCTAAGTGTGACTGTAATTGGAAATGGGGCCTCTAGGAAATAGTTACGGTTAAACGAGTTCATAAAGGTGCAACCTGGATCTGATAGAATTAGTGACCTTAGGAAGAGTCACAAAAGTGTCTCTCCTCTCCTCCTCTTCCTCCTCCTCCTCCTCCCCCTCCTCCTCCTCCTC